TTTTGAAAACGTAGCCGTATTTGCTGGAGCGTGAGTGATGGTTCGGCTTGGGGCTTTCTTTGCACTCCAGACCAGAAAAAAAATCGTCTTGCATTCGCGGGCTGGCTCCTTACACTGTAGGGAGTTGCGCTATTTCAGTGGCGCTCTATAATTAGAGTCGGAGTCAGCAGAGCTGCTGCTGTGTTGTGCGAATGAGCAGATCGTCAGCGAGAAGTGTGCAAGCAGCAAACCCAGCTCCCACCTAACCTCTAGTTTTTTTTTGTTTTTTTTGTTTTTTTTTTAATCTAACCTCTAGTTTAATTAGATGCCAGTTCAGTTTCAGACTGAGGTTGAAGATGCTTGCACCTTCAGATGCGTGCAGTAGTAATGTGCAAATCTGAGGGTGTTTTTATTTTATTTTATTTTATTTTATTTTATTTTGCCTCTTGGACCTTTTTTTTTTTCCGCCCCCTCCAGTTCTTTTTTTTTTTTTTTTTTTTTTTTTTTTAAACCATTTCTCGAGTTAGCGTGTCATCCTTGCGCAGGGGCCATGCTAATCTTATCTGTATCGTTCCAATTTTGACGGATGTCACGAAGGACCTCGAGTTCTTTTCATCCTTCCCTACTGGTACTTCCTTTCAAATGCGAGAAGCTTCTCAAAAGTGTACGGTTACTTTTTCTTTTTTTTTCCTTTCTTTTTCTTCCGGTTGCTTGCTTGCCGCTAGAAGGATCATTCATACCAGAAGCGTCGTTTGGTGGAGTAGCGCCTATGTCTGACATGGGGCAAGGTCTCGTTTGCACGGATTACGAGATTTCGGCCGTTAATCTTCGTTATTTACGGCCGATATCTCTGATCTAGCCCCAGAGAGTGGCTCCTATTCTTCCCCCTCGCCCCCCCCCCCCACCCCCCACCGCCCACCTCTTCTTTTTTTAAGAAGAAAACAAGCTCCTTTCCAATGGTGGGGAGCTGCCCCTGCTGGAAATTGGCTCCAGCGTCCCTGAATTGAGAGAGAACCCACTCACAAAGCTTCCCGTTGTTAGGACCTCTTCATTCTCTGTTTAAAAAGAGAAAAATATTTAAAAATCTCTATAATGGAGCATGTTAGTGCTCTCCTAACTTTTATCACCCGATATCGGAACTGTCGACCAACCTCTGAGCAGTGTCCGATCTTATCCACTCGATGATAAACTTATCCGCTCGATGATAATCGTATCCACTAGATGAGGCTTCCCATCCCAGTTGTTACGATACTCGTGGATTCCAGGATGCTGTCCTCACATCCAACGTGCTTGCACTTTCTCTGGGGCTCGTTGCACCTCTCAGTAAATGCATAAAAGACGAACTCTGGCCGTGTACCTTTCCATGTTATATCGGAAAATGCATTCTCATTTTGCACATTTGGTGAGTGCTGTGGTGAGACCCTCTAAAGCAGAACTGTGCAAAACTGGCAGGAACGGCGGATGTACAGTACGGAATGAGAGGAGCCAGAATGACTCTACATTCTTCCCCCGAACACAGCGCACCCTCATCACGACTGTATTGGACTGGAAAGACAGCTTGTATGCGCTCATGAAGAGGGTGTGTTGTGTTCCAGGGAAGACTGTAGAGCTGACTGGGCAACAGTAGTAAATGTGTATGAATGTGTTTGGTGTGGGATAGGAGGCAGTGATTGTTTGATTGCCGAAGTGAGCAGGGGTGTAAAAGTGTCGACCTGGAGGATGCAAATGGTCTCCATGCCCAAATGTCAATTTGAGACCAATTTTTTTTTCTTTTTCTAAAAAAATAAAAAAATCTGAGGTCATTTAAATCATGTGACCATCCAGCGCTCCTATGGATTGAAGCATACAACTCGGCGAAGTGCAGTTGCATATGCACTAGCTGTCGTTTCTATGGGATTGCAGAGTAATTCGCTGGTAGTGGGAGGCGGGGGGGGGATACTGGGGGGAGGAAATACAGGAGGAGAATGCTGGCGGGATCCAACCTGACAGAAGTGAAACTTGTCTCCAGCTCCTGTGAAGTTGCCTGAAACTTCTGTCGTCTGTGAAGTCTGCAGAATAATTTGCTGTTAGTGGGGGAAAATCAAGGAGGAGAGAGAGAGAGCGAGCCACAGCCTCGCGTTTTGTTCATGAACCATTTACGGTTGTTCGCGGCACCATGTTCTTTCTCACCTCGTGAAAGCGAGCTTACCTTGACAAGAGTGGAAATTGTCTCCAGAAGGTCCTGTGAAGATGGGGAATACCTGGAGCTTCTATCATCTGTGAAGGCTGTGGAATAATTCGCTGGTGGTGGGGGGAAATCGAGGAGGAGAGATCTAGCCACAGCCTCACGTTTTGTTCATGAACCATTTGCGGCTGCTTGCAGCATCATGTTGTCACGCCGAGAAAATCGAGCTTACCTTGACAAGAGTGGAACTTCGTCTCCAGGAGATCCTGTGAGGTTGCGGAATACCTGAAGCTTCTGTCGTCTGTGAGGTCTACATAGCATGGGTATGATTAGAACGAGCGGAGATGGGCAGATGGGAAAAGTGGTGATTAGGGCATGGACGGAGTTGAAATCGTGTCGGGGACAACGGCGAGGGAGAAAAAGTGTAGCTGAGGCTGATAAATACGGTATGGTTATAGTAATGTGTATGACAGGAGGAAGCACTGACGCGAATGGATGGAAATGAAATGGGGCATATGGATAGGACAGGGAGCAGGGTGGGTATGAGAGAGGGAGAGCAAGGTTTGCGGAGGTTCAAGAGGCAATGGATGTGAGAGTATTGGTGTGCACATGAGAGATGTGAAGTAGATGGCGAGAAAGTTTCTGTTTTGGCGAGAAGCTGCAGGGAAGTCTGTTTGGGCGAGAAACTGCGAGTTAGGGTACGAGGAGCTGCAACAGGGAACTGGGGTGCAGCAACAAGCACGCTAGGAAGGAGAATCAAATAAAGAGAGAGAGAGGGGTGGGAGTACTAGTGGCCCTGGGGCACAACACGGAGTTTTGGAGGATGGAAACGACGCAAAAGAGTCCAGGAAGACATGTTGGAGGATTAGGGATGAAAGGGGTTGAGAAACAGAAGGGGAAGCTCTTGTAGGGAGACGAATGTATGTGGAGGAGGCCGAAAGAAAGCCGCAGTAAGATTGTTTGTGTACATGATTGAGAATGCTTATGACGGAAGTTATGAGGATTGCTGCTGCCCTTTCAAAAATAGTCGGGAAAAGGAGTTTTCTACATGGCGTGAAACACTACTTAAGAAGTCTTCATGCATTTGTTGCTGGCCGCAGGAAACGGCTGATGGAGAAGGTGGGAGAAGGGGGTGAAGGGGAGGCGGGAGAGATGGAAAGGGAAGAGGTGTGTGTGTGTGTGTTTGTGTGTGTGTGTGTGTGTGTGTGTGAGAGAGAGAGAGAGAGGGAGAGAGAGAGAGGTTAATACACGTTGTTTCATGGAAGAGTTCAAAACCCCTTTTAGGCTGTGGCACTACAGCTTTCTTGTAAAGATGATAAATGTGACGGCTGTGGCCTTTGAGCGTCTAGCACTTCTGCTTGCATACAAGGGCTGACCTGTTTGAGGAGTACTTGTACTGTTGGCCAGACATCACTACTGGACTTTTGCTACGAAGAGCAAGAGGTTGCAAAGTTGTATTGTCTGCACGTGGGAATACAGAAGCTTCTCTTGGTATTAAAAGAGACTGGTCACAGTCATGTTGTGTGTGCTCTTTCTTTTGCCTCCCATTTTCGTAGTGCGTTTTCACAGTCGGTGAATTAGCTTGGTAGAGGTTAGGAGTCAATGCCCGGTCATCAATAGACTCGTTAAGAGTCATTATAGCCATGTTTGGTGCAATTTTCAGTCCAGATACAGCCATATAATGACTGGGCGTTCTATTCTGGTGAAGACAGTGGTCTAGATTATGTAAGCCGTTGCGGGCTTGTTTGTGTCATTTGTGAAGGTGTGAATCCCAATACGTGCCATTGCAGTAGCTTCTTGGACGTTTCCCCGTGAACTTACGTGCCATTGCAACTGGAAAGTCGATAAATCTCGAGGCGCATTTCTATGTCCAGATCCAACAGAGCAAGTGCATTGAAATTTTTAATCTCTAAGAGAGCATTACATGTTCAACTTGTTTGTCAGCAACCGAGATTTGCCGCTCTTTCTTTTTTCTCCCTTCTTTTCATTCCTTTTTCCTCCTCTTCCTTTTCTTTCCTGCTCAATTTATGAGTGTCGTCCTTGCACAGGGGCCACACTAATCTTCTCCACGTTGCTCCAATTTTAACGAATGTCCTGAAGGACGCTTTGCCACTCTAGGTGGCCAAGGGAGCTTTGAATTTTTCAAATCGGCGGCTGCGCTTGCCCACAGAGCCGCAGGGCAAGAACACTGGAAACGTCGCAGTCAGTAATCTAGTATTGTGTGGGACAATTTCTGACAATGAATGGCTGGGCATCTATCTTAAGATGGCCACCGTTTTCTACAAGATTTTTCTTCTGGTGGAGGTTTCAGGGGCTACCCACAGTGTGGTTTGCGGGGCTCTGTTGTTTCGCCTGGCAAAATCTCGGTGAGCCAACAGATCCCTCCGAGAACAGACCGTCGGATGTGGACACAGAGCTCCTCTGTTCCGTGATTAGTATCAGAAGAAAACCATTCCCCTTCACTGGTAGTGGACTTTTTCCGTGGTGCCCCTTGGGAGTCCAAAAAGATCCTAGATGCATGGGATGTTGACTGGTAATTGGTTCTGATGTGGACTGCGCCTTGTTATTTGTTATCAGCCCAAATGCGGCGAACAAATGCAGTCCATCAGCTGGTCTTTTGTTTCTTTTTCCCCCTTTCTTTGCAATGTAAAAGCAACTCCTTCCCCCAAGTAGAAGATCGGGGAGGAAGCGTAGAGCATGTCATTCTTGTTTTTTTTGTGTGGGGGTGTGGGGTGGAGGGGTGGAGAGGGGGAGAGAGAAAGATGGGAAGTTGAGTAATGAGAAGGAAGGAATCGAGGGAGGGAGGGAGTGAGACTGACACCAGTGTGCGATGGGTTTGTTTGATTATCTTGCGCAGTTTCTCTTGACGTCATCAATGGACAATTCTGTCCGGCTTTGGCACATTTCTGTCGACCAATGCCTGCGTGTGTTTCCTCACAGTGATTTCGGTACGTGCCTCTGTCCTCCTTGGCTTACCCATCTTTGCGATGCCTACTTTTCTGCTTCCCGTTAGAGGTACTATTCGTTCCTCGTTGTTCTTGTGGTTGTGTGAACCTGGTCGGGAGAATGCTGGGAAGTGTCATGGGGTTCGAAAGCGAACTAGGTGGCTCTGATGACGAACCACTGTGTTCTCAATATGCCTATCGAGCAAAGGATTGGTAGTCCGGTGCATGCTGGCCTTTACGTGTACAGATCCGTTTTCCGACTTCCTTTGTCTTCCCGGCCCCAGCAGTCAAATTGCCTCTTTGACGAGTAACAGCGGGAAAACAATGGATCCTAATAATGTCAACGAAACGAAGAGAGTATACCTTTCTGTTTCCTGAGCTGGTATCCGATTGTGTCGAGTTCTTCCTATTTGCGCTCGAAAAAGAAATGACTGATATGTGCTAGTTTGTTTGCCATGAACTGGAGGATACTTCCCTAGAAATCGAAGGCCATGGAGCTGCCCCTCTGTGATCTGATTGCCTGTTGTTGTGGACATTGCAAATATTTATGAACATTGTGGACATCGTCACATGTTCCCAGCTGGATGAAAAAGGTTTATTAAGGGGCGCACCACCTTTTCAGTATCAGTCCTGACAAGTTTCTGAGCGGTGGTGCTCGTCCTCCCCTTGAAATCATTGAGATCTGATCCTTCCTACCTTTTTGTTGAGATCTTAGATCTTGTTCTACCTGCCCCAAACTCGAGCAGTCAGTTCAAGATGTGTTTCTAAAACATCATAATTGAGAAGCAACCTACCTTTTTTGTCGATATTTTTTTTGTCCCTTTTTTGTCGATATTTTTTTTGTCCATCCGTCCCTCGCCTCCTTGCTCCCTTCTCCTGCCACTGTCATCTATGTCGGCATCGTTTGTGATCATCATGGTCATCGCGAGTGTCCCCCCCCTTTCCCCCCCCCCTCTCTCCCCTCTGCTCCACCAACCCACTGGACGCTGTGCATCCTTATAGTTTCTCTGAAGTCAAGAATCTTTTCTAGGGTAAACTTCACGGTCATTGTTTCCATCGTTATCATTATCATCGCCGTCCTCGGCATCGACGTCATGTCATCTCTACCCTTCTGCCAACCATTGGACACGAAGATTGGAAACCCATGAGAGAGAGAGAGAGAGAGAGAGAGAGAGAGAGAGAGAGAGAGAGAGAGAGAGAGAGAGACGCATGAGTGAAGTGTTCTGAATGTGGCGGTTTGATTCTCTCCAACTTGCACATGGTGTGGTTACTTCAGTTGTCAGCAGGAGCATGCTGGTAGGGGATGGATTGTTCAGCCCTGACTGCTGAGTTGGCATCAGGGCTTGTGACAGTGGAAACCGTGCTGGAGCTGATTTATGTTTAGCCTGAAGAGGGAGATATACTTTTGGGAGGAAGGAGGTCACTTGATAATCCTGTTTTGCAACAGGGGTGCTGCGGTTGTGGATTTGCAGTTCATCTTTCCCCCTGTACGTTAACGCATGTTTCTGCGTTCCTTTTGTTTTCTTTTTCTCCCTTGCGGTTCAGCTTGTGATTTCCTGATCTGTAACAAGATGGTGATCCATATTGTGCATGTGGTGTTATGCAGTGACTTGTGTCGACTTCAATCCTGTTGATGACAAGTTCTTCATAAGTGGGTCTTTTGATGACAAGCTAAGGATCTGGAACATTCCTGACTTCTCGGTTGCGGACTGGACAGACGTTCGCGAGATTGTGACCACAGCCTGTTACACCAGGGATGGGAAGGTGAGCTAACTTGACGAACAGGAGGGTTTTCCTCTTTTTAATCGTAGGTTCGTTTTCTAAGTCATAATGCAATGGGGATGGCCGCCAAGCCTCTGGGGGAGAAGATGAACGCTCTTCACACTGTTTCTTCTCTGGGTTTCAGGGTGTTGGGGGTGAATATGGAACATTCAACACTGGATGTTGAGCTGGCGACTTTCACCGCTTCGCGCCTAATTCACCGCCTACGTGCCCTTTACGCCTAGTCATTCCGAATAACACTTGCCCCCCCCGGACAGCTTGATCGTGTTTATGCAAACTACCTTTCAAGGTAGTGGTTGTGACACACGTGTGGACTCTTTTTGCATGTCTGTTAATGACTGTTCATGCCAGACTCTGCGCTGAGCCACAGGTGGCTCCATTTGGTGCGAAGCACAACACCCAGCTGTTGACCATTGCTGGGGAGTACTTCTGTGGGCAGTTCTGGATGCATGATGAGTGAGGGGAGTGCATGCTCCGGGGAGTACTTTTGTGGGCAGTTCTGGATGCATGATGAGTGAGGGGAGTGCATGCTTCAGCTTTATGTTTGTCTCTCCTTGGTACCTGTAACAGACCTAACACGACAGTGGTATTGGGAAGGTGCATCCAAAGACAGGCAGACCGGTGTCCACAGTCCATCTTGCCTGCAGTACTTGGGTGTATATAAGGACAGGAGCGAAGCTGAACATCGCTGGTTGAAGTGAAGCCAAGCTCTGTTCAAGCTGAATATGGTGCAAAGCTTAAACTATCACTACCCCCGACGGCTGAAATTCGGCTTTCCTGGGGGGCGACGACCGGCAGGCGCAGGCGGGTCCAGTCCCGAGATTTTCAAGCACCAACTTTGGTGATTTTTCACGCTCAGAAGAATTGACGAAAAATCTGAAAATTGGAGATCCTATAGATTAGGTTGTGATCTATCCAGGAAAAATATCAGAAAAATATTTATGAAAAAAAATTAGACCGCGAAATGAGTGCTGCACCGATTCGTTGCCTTTTGCATTTTTGCCAGTCTACCACGTGTTGGCCAATGGAAAAAGTACCCCAACTTCTGCATTTTTTTGCGCGCAGAAGAATGACTCGAAAGCTCTGAAAATTGGAGGGTCTGTAGATTTGGCTGTGATCTTTCCAGGAAAAATATTAAATTAAAAATAAAAATAAAAATAGTTTCAACTGCGAAATAAATTGCTGCGGCAATTCGATGCATTTTCCATTTTTGCCACTCGGCCGGTTCTCCCCACTGTGCTACCGTTAATCCTCGTGAACCTGTGCTACCGTTCCCCCCCAATTTAGGACGGCGGGGGTAGGGGTGGTTTAACAGCCAGCTGCAGGCCATAGGTGAGGAATGCAGGCTCATCAAGCAGCGCCAAAAGCCTTGCTTTTGTCAGGGGATCTGCTTTTGATGGTGTAGAGTCTGTAGACTGATGGCCCCAACATGACGGAGCATTCATTGTCTTGTCATAAATAACTGCTGTTTTTGAGAGGCCGAAATGTCCCGCCAGGACTCCAGGGTTCGTCCAAGAGCCTAGGTCTTTTGCTTGAGCCTAGGTTTTTTGCTTTGCGAGGGGGCAATATTTGAAACTTACCCCACCTGTCACTAATCTGCCAAGGCCAAATTAAGAAAGGAGAAAATAAAAGGAGGTTTAAATTTTAAATTGAAACAGGGGAAAAAAGGTGGTGCCAACATCTACGAAATGGAAGATTGCAAGAGAGAAGACCGAAAAAGATGCACCTTGGAGAACCCAGGACAGACTCGCAGTTCAAATTTGTGCCACAGTAGTCAAAGGCTCTGTGGCGGATAAGACCAGGACTTGATGAAAGGGAGAGAGGGAGATGTATCTGATAGCCCTCGGTCATCTCTCGTTGGGACAGGGAAAGGGCAGAAAGAAAAGACAAGATAAAGAATAGTCTTATCATCACCACCAGATTCATGACAACTCAGGGCACGCTTTCGCTTGCTGCTGTCCTCCCTGGACTATTCACATGAGGCGTTATCTCTTGGAAGTCCTATACTGCATTGGGCAGTGCTGTGAGGGTCACTCTTCTTTGGCTTTACATGGAGTCGAAGATTGACAGGGCGAGCAGCATAAGTAACCACCCACTGCAGATGTGGTGGCCCGACCATCGGCGGGTACAGGTATGAATGATGCTACGTGGGCTGGGTGGTACAATCTGGGGTACATGTGTGATGCTGTGTGGGCTGGGCTGCAGAACCTTCGTTCCCCTCCACAATCGCTAAATGAAGGAGAAGCGAAGAGGACTTTCCCGGAGAGGGGGAACTCCAGTGCATGTGATGTTGGAAGCCCTTTCCTTTTGTTTGGAAGGCCTTTTCGCTGTGTATACCCCTTTCTATAGGAAAAGGGGGTAGCCATTCACAACAGATCCGGCCACAATCTGAGCTCGTGACCTGCTCTCGTCCACATGCCGCAGGTGTGTACTTGTAGTGCTCTCCAGCAACACTGTCGACTCTATTCAAACACAGTTCCGGATAAAGAATGAAGCCCTGCAAAATGACGCAAATGAAAAACGGAAACAACAATAATGAAAGCAAAGGCAAACTACATCAGAAGAGCGGAAACAAAGGAACAACCCCTAACATTATTCCATTTGTCTGATTCCATCGTGATTCGCTCTTGCACCTGTGAAAATAAGCAGAGCAAAGGAGCAATTCAATTAATAATGTAGCGTTCGCCCATGCAAATAAGAAATGCTAAGGAGCTTGTGACCTGCTCACTTACAGTTCCCCGTGGGAAAGTTTCCCTTGGGCCCATTAGGGCCTGTCTTCCAAGATCCACTTCTTGAAGTAGGTATTATATGGATAATAACAGGGTTGCACCCCTGCCGACCGCCGACCCCGACCGCCGATCGTATTGCAGCCGACCAGTAGGACCGATTGGTCGGCGGTCTGCCGACCAGTCAGAAAACAACCATCCACTGATTTTTAAAAAAATCTGAGTTGGGGGCTGTGCTGCGCTTGCCGAGTACAGCCCAAATCCGCTGAGAAACATTTGGGGATTTGGGGGGGTATGGGGGGGTTGGGGTTGGATCATACCTGCGGCGCAAGTGTGCTGGTCACCAATGCGAAAAAAGAAAAGAAAAAGCGGCTGTTATGTGTGAGAACACGCGCGTGAGAGAGAGAGAGAGAGAGAGAGAGAGAGAGAGAGAGAGAGAGAGAGAGAGAGAGAGAGAGAGAGAGAGAGCAAACAAATAGCTCCTTTTAGCATTTATTTGAAAATGGGTTGGAGTATAGGGGAAGTATAGGGATGATATAGGGGATATTGGGGAGGTTAATAAGGGTGTTGGAGGCGGTTTGGGTGTGTTGGGGTGATGTATGGGGGTATTGGGGGCCGCTATTAGGTGTTGGTGGTGTTATTAGGGTTTCTGGMCCCCCCCCCCCCCCAAAAAAAAAAAAAAAAAAAAAAAGTGCGAGGTGCCGATGACCCCCGAGCGGTAGGTGCCGACCAGCCGATCGGTCGGCGGGTCGGCAGCCGACCAGTCAAGGGCCGCCGGCCGTCGGCGGGTCCAACACTGGATAATAATGTGATAACATACTAGCCTACTGATAGTTTGGTTGTGGGGACCGATAACTGTCAGGTTGTCTTTTGGCCGATCATAAGCCTCTCCCATGAGATGCAGCTCATACAATTTGAGCCCTCTGGCCGTCATTGCAATGCTCCCTGTGGAAATAAGTCCTATAGAGTGATGATGATCAAGCCGGAGGCGGCCTCTTGGTTGCAGGTACGATTTGGCTGGCTATTAACATTGAGAAGGCTCTGCACGAATTGTGAGTACTGAATCGAAGTGATCGGTCTTTTCTTCAGATTTTGGGCGGTGGCCACATCCTAATGTAATCTATTATCTATGGCTCTGGGAGGTTGATGAATGTTGTTGCAAAACCATCTATTGGCCAGGCATGGTCTTGTTAAAGAGACTGCATTGCTCCCTCCCTGTCTCCTTTTTGTTTTTCCCTTTCCCTGTTCTCTCACTTCGTTTGTTCAAAGGGTGTGCAAACTCTCTGCTGTTTAAGCCCTTTCTTTCTCCTGCCTCCTTTTAATGATATTCCTTAACCTTGTGTGCACAGGGGGCAATTGTTGGATCTCATAAGGGCATTTGCAGATTCTACAGCATTACAGGTGTGTATAGCGGGAACACTTGATGGTTGTTTTATATCCGCCTTTGGTTGGTTTCCCCCTTTCTGTTGAGTGGCAGGATGGAAACTTCTCGCGGCTTTGCACTGCTATCTGTTCCTGTGCTGTTTGTGTCGCTTCGTTATGACCTTCCTCTAGATTTAACTTCAGCTCATGGTCGTGGAGAGATCATTGATCAAGCAGGGCAAGGCTTGCCGTTTGTTGAAATAGAACGGATGGAATCTATGCACGGACGGATGGCATCATATCTTGGTGGCATTGGCTTGATGGCATGTTAGTGATGGAACGCTAAATTCACATGGCAGGAGAGGTAATGTATGAAATGTCCGGATGAAATGATAAATTCATGGCGGGCTTTGCTAGCTGCAGGAATTGGGAAAGGTGTCCTTTCGGTGGTGCATGAGCAAGGGGGGAGAGGGATACACACACACACACACACACACACACACACACACACACACACACACGCACACACACACACACACGCACACACACACACACACACACACACACACA